CTTTCAGCCTTCGTAACCATTTCAGTTTATTGGAGATGAATCGGTTGGGCTGTAGATGAATCCTTTCCTGAGGGCAGCAAACATCATAAAAATAGTTGAGGTAATTGGTAATGTTCTCACGGAAGACTGAAATATCAGAATGGAAGAATTGTTGTTAGCCTGTACCGCCAGCCATGGATTTTAATTCAATCAAATTGGTCAGATGATTTTGTCGTAAACGTATCTTACATGCATCGTTCTTCATCAGGATTTTTTGCTTGCATTAACCATATATTGTGGGTAAAACNAAAACTTTAATCAGACAGTGATCGGAATTGCCTACTGGTGCACGTTTGAAGGCACGGAACAAAGATGGTTCGTTAACGAAGAAGTGGTCCAAGGAGGCATCATTTCGAGTGGAAAAAGTAACAATCTTCTGAAGTGTGTAAAAACTCGCATCAGGTCTCTTGAAATCGCCAGCAACGATGAATACAGATGTGACAGATTTTTCCAACATGATTGAATACAATACATCCAGGAAGGTAGACAACTCACTAGGAGTACAGTCAGGAGTGATGTATAGGTTTGATGATAGGATCGAAAAGTGACGCAGGAGAAATCGTGGTTTACATTCCACAGAAATACAAGAAATCTTTTGTGTGCAGTGAGTAAATATGCATTTGGTGGAATTACACCACGACCGGCGCACATAAGTGATTACGCCTCCACCTTTAGTTTTCCTTCCTGGAAGTCGATCTGCTCGAAATAATTGGAAGCCTTCGATCTGAACCAATTCGTCCTCGACGGATTCTTGTAACCAAGATTCTTGGAAAAATAGCACACAACGTTTGGAGTATTCACCGTAGTGAATCAGAAGACCGATGTCCGATAGCTTAGAAAGAATTGATTACATATTCGATGACAAAATGATCTGAAAACCAATGCTCTTCAGGTTTCGGTGCTCAAGTGCAACTTTCCAGTCAGCGCGATGTTTTTCCGTTTGCAATGTAAATTTCTGGTGATCCTTTTGATCTTATTTCTCACAAAACGAGAAAAAGCGCGTAAGGACGGTTTGTTGATATATTCCACGGATAGTCGTACGGAAATTCATCTGAGTGCGTTATAGGTTATCATTGAGGTCACCGTAATTGATGCAAAAGTATATCCAGAGGTTGTATGTGATGTAAAAACAAAAGCTCCAGCGGTAACAAAAATGACACGGCCAATTTCAAAGGCCCCACAGAAGTTTTTAATTATTTTTTTATTTATTGAACATACACATTTGCAATCAACTTCCAAGAAGGAGGCCATGACCGTGGAATTGGAGAATATGGGCATCGGTGGAGTGGTTTGAACCCGGAACAACTAGGGTCAACTTTTTGATGACCTTAACCACTTGAACAGTAAGCAGTGTAGAGCAGTGAAAGTAGAACTGCTTCAACCCACTCACTCCCCTCAGTCTGACATAAACGCGTACACAACGAAATACGGATAAATTTCATTGTTTCCAGAGATTCGTTATTGTGAGAGGTTTTACTATAAGTAACCAGATACTTTGGTTATAATTTTGTGCGTACTCATTTGCGCGTTCCTGTGGAACAAAGTACATAGACCGCACGGTCAAGCGTTTGTCCAAATGAATCCGTGATCACCACTCCACATGGCTAAATACAGGGACGATTAGGTCACTCACCAGTGCAGTGGTTTCACACCTACTTGAGACAAATCACATTGTGAATGTGACCAAGGCATTCCTTTCCCTGTATCGGGTTCGTGGTCGACTATTAAAGCAGGCTCAATATCGTACGCTGGCCACAGCGGAAGCGGTAGGAATTCGTCTGCACAACTTCCTTCTGTGTGCCCAAAAACAATTTGTGCAGGTGCTTAAGCTCCCTTGGCCCATTCCCCACACACTCCATATTCTAAGTGATCCCAGCGATCGGATGACCTAACAATTATGTGATCTGAAGTGAGTAATGTAGGATTTCATTCAATTTCAAATGGGAACTCGTCGGGTATATATAACAAATCAAGCCTGAACCGAAAAGCGATGAGCCACCGGGCCCGTGGCCAAGTGGGTAGAATGCTTGCATCCCGGGTTAGATCCCCAGTTGGGTCGATAGATTCGAGCTGTTGATGAGACCCAACCAGGTGGAAACGGCTGTCCAGTGCTTCCTAGCTTTTCAGTTTACGCTTCATTTGCTACATACACGATGAATTCTAATTTAAAATTATGTGATCATTGAGAATTCCACATTCCGTCCAGAGACGAAATTAGCCCCAGATAACCTGAGGTTATTTTTCCTCTCCTTAAATAATTGTTTAGATTTTTATGGTTGAATACAATGCAATTAATTCATCGTTTCACATTTTCTTGTTACTTTCACCCGTGAACTTAAACAAGTAAATTCCTTCTGACCCTCTCTGTGATCTGATTGGGTCATTTCCAGCTGTTTGCGGTACTTGGACTTCCTCACCCCAGTACGAGACTATCTGATCACCGGCTTGTACTTTTGTGATGTTCTTGTTGTCACGTGCAGTCCATCCGTGTGTTGATAGCACTCCTGCTGTACGGTTGAAGTTCACTGGGCCTGCCTAAGACTCACGGTTGTAGACAAGGTGTAGTTTCTCGCTCGGGTTAGCTGGGCAAGCACCAGGTCCCTTGTTGCGGTTGAACTATCCGACCGATCGATCAATGAACCCGATCGGTCGTGTGATTTTCGGCCGGCACGGGAGGAGGATAAGTTCTGAATCCGATGATTCTTAGGTGTTATTAGATAATCACTAAAGGAGAATCAGTTGTGGAACGATGCTTCATGTTGGAAATTCGGAGTGAAAAAAGTACCGATTTACACATGAAAAGCATGATGTTTATTTTGATGCTTTTGTCATGACTACAAATCACCAAATACGAGCCTGTTCACCACTCTTTGTTCTACTGGAACTAATTTAAATCGGATGCGTCGTACAACTTACCATGTTCGTGAGGATGTATGAGGTGGAAGAGAANAGAGAAAGGGTTAGAATTGAGATGCACGCATGCCTAATGTGCCATCTATACGTGTACCACATCTGTGTCTCCATGTGTGGTTAATTTGTTCTCACTTATAAGTGCTCTGAAGCATTTTATTACACACTTTTCCGTTAAAGAGCAGAAAGGATGAAGACCCAATATTGCCGAGGACCTACAGTTCGCTTGGAGTGGTGAGCCACATGAGGCCTTTCTGGCATAAGCGCGATTTTGTACCGGGTCGCAACGAAGTTGCCCACCAACAAAGCGGAATGGTGGTGGCCGGATCGAAAGTTCGAACCCAAAATCACGCCAGTGACAGGGATTAAAACCGCTCGACCAAAACACACTGATTCACACATCGCATTGATTTATTGCGACACTTACCTGGCTGAAACTGTGGTCGTGAATGAAACACAATCTTTTTGCCGTGTCAACGGTGTCGATCCAGTGATATCTTCCCAAACCGCGGGATTTGTTCCGCCAGATAAACTGCATAACAGTCGTACATTCGGAGTCGCTCCCGGTTCCACTTTCGGTGGTGGTCTGGGCAAAGGGATGGTCAATGTGATTGGTTTGTGGAACTTTCGTCGACGTGGTTCAATACTGACTACCGGGGAGACAGAGACACGTGGTCCAACCAAACGTGTGACTAGTTCTCGTGCAATTGGTTGTGCCTTTCGAGCGAGGAATTGGGGAAACATTGGGGGAAACATATTGGTTATTCATTTGTTAACACTGCATCAAACAATTACAAGTAACTGTTTTCAAATTTTCGAACTGTCTTCAGAGTATCGGGTCAAATTTGAAATCACACACCGGGGCTCGGCCCCCCATTTACAAGACGGACACTCTCTTTGATGTCTGTACACAGTCACACAGAACTGCTGCTCGGTTGTGGACACTAACAGTCTGAGCCCTGGAAGGTAGAGTGCAACAGAATTTCTCGACAGGGTAGACGAGGTTCTGAGTCGGACAAGAATAAAAAAGCAAAAAACAAAAAATTCGATCAGCGGGATAGGGTTAAAACCAAGGATCTCAAGACCTGGAGTACGCCAAGGTTGGGGGCTTGATCTGCTTACCATATTTGCAAAACATTACGTAGCCAGTAGCTAGTAGCATCTTGTAGGAAAAAAGAACAAGTAGGCCTATTTATCTGAAAATTTTAAGAGCTTGACACAGGTCATTCGAGAATTCAGTTTGGTTCGCTAGTGACAAATCGCTCACCGCCTTTGAGAAAAAACTTGTTGTACGTCGTCGATGCTGAGCGTCCCACCGGTTGTGAAAATTTGTGGCTCAGCAGATTAGTTTTTATTCATTCAAGAAGAGATATAATACTGGAAAATCAACCTGATGCGAAATTGAAAACAAATGATTTTATCTAAATACACAAAAAAACAGCGGGACAAACTTACTTGCAGTCCGACCTTGATCTTCTTTTGTAGCGCTCCTGGTGGGAACACTGCCTGAACTTGAGGACATACGGAAGAGCTGATCAGTCCACCGTCAGAACCGACCAGAGCAATTTCTTGCCGGAATCGAGAAAGCAGTGCAAAGTACTGTGGGAAATCGTAGGTGAGGATTCGGTGAATACGTCGCTCGCGTAACGTGTTCGACGGCTCCACGCGTTCTGTGGCATTGAACAAAAGTTACAAATACAATACAATACAAGAAGGGATGATTTGAATCAGGTTATTGTATCGCATTTTTAGTTTAACTACTCATTAGTAGCACGTTTATAAAATCAAAACTTACCGAAAGCATCACCTAGTGCATCGCGAACGGCTTGATCGGACGCATCCATCTGATGTTCTTTCCAAGTATTTCCCGTTTCACTTCGCAAGACAATAATCTCCCTCTCGCGTCCGCGTAATGACGCAATGTGAGGTACCTCTATGAGGATGGGCAATGCGAATTGTGCTTGATATGGTCCCATTTCCAGAATCCTGTTGACAAGAGTAGTCACAGCAATAATGTGGATGAAATATGAAGGTGAAATCGAATTTCATGATTATACTATCACAAAAGAAATTGCATTACCAATGTATGAACCTGGTATTTTGATCTACTATATATTCTTACAAGGCGCTTACTTAACAAGTGATTTGTCACACAAACGAGAACGATAATTTTAACAGGAAACTTAGGTTAGAATTGTTATTTTGGTAGATTGAAGTCTTATATTGAAATTATAAAACGTTCAATAGTCTCGAAAGGACTCGAACCCACTCTTTTGTTGCCTGCGCTTTTCTACAGTGCAGGCTCTGCCAGGTGAGCTTTGAGGCAGAGCTGATGGTATTGAAAACTGAAACTTAGTTGTCAGTGTACTACAAACTTCTAAACGCTCTCTAAGAATAAACCAAATTGAAGTGTAACCTAAAGAAATTCACTTTTTTAGATGCCGAAAGGTAAAAAAGTAACTGAATCTCCTAGAATGCGCCAGGATAGTGAATTAAAACTTCATATGGATATAACCCACACAAAAGAATGGATCACCTGACCAAAGGTTTCTCTTTCTGGTTTCATAATATTGAAACCTGGTCGTTCTACCCACCATTATCTCAGGTCAACTAGGTTAATTTAATGTGGACCATCCTCAAACACTGCGCAACAATTTCTTGGACTTACCTTGCGGCTAAACAGTCTCCATCGTTCATATTTGGTTTGTTCGGGGAAAACTCAGAGCGTAGCACACGACAAATAACCCGAGTTGGTTGGGGCGATGCATTCGGCGGGATGTAGAATCGCAGATCAGCTCGACGTTGTGCCTCAACCAGGCAGCCGCGTGCATCAACCAAGAATGATATGAGAAAACTTTGCGGTGGAAATACCAGGGAATACAGGGAACGGAAGGGGAGGAAAGAAATGATTTAAATCACATTTGTACTGGAACTGAAACAAATAATATTTGTTTATGAAGCTCATATTACTTTAAACATTTAACCATTAGTTTAGGTGCCAATTGGGGTGGTTGTCTTTTAAGTGATTTTAAACGAAAGTAATCTTGAACTATCTTCATTGAACATTGAAAACTATCTTTCGCCGTTGTTTGGTGGCTATGCACCCGTTAATTTTGACTGGCGAGAGATTTTTCAACGTTTATATTTTGACTACTCAAGTCTTTGTGAGTAATGTAAATATATTTCCAGCATTGAGGTATGCGTAACGAAACTTACCCTGATTTGATCGGTTTTCTCATCAGTTGTATATTGTCTCCGTCGAAGGACCAGGCAGAAATGACTGCCGGAGAGACTTTATCATCTTGTACTGGAGCTGTCTGTTTAGCTATCGTTTCGGGAGCGATCTGTACAGGGGAAAAACATCAATCGAATTTGAGCTTCTATTCGGAATAATTGAAACGATAAAGACTGTCGCTAACTGTGAAGGATCCGTTGGTGTGGATAAGACCCAAAAGATTAAAGCTTCTAGACTGTTCTGTCTTTTTAAATAATGATCCGCGGGGCATTTACATTCATTCGTGCACTTGTACAATATGGAACTGGTTGGTTATTTTACCGACCGAGAGTAGCGTATTTAGGTCGATATTTACGGTGGTGCAGAAGATGAACAATTCATTAAGTCAACCGATGTTGGATGTTTCGGGCTACGTATCGATTGGTCGAGACGACAGCGAATCAGAATATGGATAAGACTAGAATCCTCTCCTCAATACTTTGAATTGACTTTTCGCATAGAATGTCTAGCATCATAGACAAAAACAAACTTTAACGGGACCTAGGACTGTGATGCGGAGGTTTGCTGGAATATTTGAAAGGTTTGTAGTGGGTGCAAATCACAAATAAGAGCAATGAAAGTGCACCAGTACCGAGGGCGGCTGTGACTAACTGTATTTACCTGATCAGACAGATAGGACTTTGGACGCTCATCTGTCATGCTATCGTAGACACTGGATCGGGCCGGTTCATCACCTGTAAGACCAAGGAAAAGAGAAATTTATGTCAACTCTATAGTTTCATGCCGTGGTTTAGCCCCATCCGACTATCGTCTATGATAGATCGGTCGGTGTTTAAAAAACAAAAGAAGAAAGAATAAAAATTGGACGGGTATTGTGCGCATGCATGAAAAAAGGTTGCGTACATGGGAACAGCAAAAACGGTAGTCTTCAATCTGCATGCGTTTTCATGACGATGGGTACGTTCAGTTAAACGTTCCATATATGTGCTATCCAACGAAGCGTGTATCGGTCAAGCATTCAGTATTGGCTGTATAGCGCACCTTTCAGCAAATGCCCACGGGCTTTGGCACCAAAGATGTTCCGATGAAATTTCTATCAAAGTTTTCTAATATTCTAACATTGTACAAAAAAAACTTTCCTCCTCAATAAAACTTAAGGTTGTCGGTTGAATTGGATAGTTAGTAGTAGTACCATCAGCGAGGGATTCAAAAGAAATAATTTAATAACGTTGATAGCGTTGATTCGAGGGAATTGTTTCTTATCGGGATCTTTCTCTAACAGACAAGCAGTTCAAACAAAACAACAGAGCCTGGCGAAGAAGCTCGTTTTCTGAGATTCGTAATCACGCCAATACTCCTCAATATATAAAATAAAATAAAATCACAGATTACATTAGAAACGATTTCATCATGAAACCGGAAGTCGGGTTCATCACCATCAAATATTTGTTTGTCCACTCATCCCATCATCGAGATTACTCGTGCGTGATACGGTGTGTGGGGATGAGTGGGTGTGCCAGGGAAGCTTTAGCGCTTGCACACTGAAGGGGTTGTGCAGACGAATGTCCACCGCTTCTGCCGTAGCCAACATCCGACAGCGAACCTGCCTCGAAAATCGCCCACGAACTTTGTACAGGGGTCGGAAAGCCTCGCACACGTTCATGGTGTGATTCGTTTCGTGAATGTCTGTGTGCAAAGTTATGTGTTGACAACAAGCTGTGGGATCACGATAATTGGATAGGGAAGCTGGGTGTAAAACCACTGAACAGGTCAGTGACTTGACCGTTCCGGTGTTCAGCCACGCAAGGTGGTGTTCAGGAATCCGTTCGGACAATCGTCTGACCATGCGGCCTATGTACGTTGTTCTACAGGAACAGGTAAATGAGTATACACAGAATGAGACCGCAGTCTGAAATTTTGTTCTTCAGTAAGAAACGCACAATTAGCTTGGATGTGAACAATACATGTGGCTTGCTTGGATGCATAGAATCTCTTATCGATTGCGTCGGATAATCTCCTTTGTACGATCTCGGCTGGTGTATCCCTTTTGACAAGCATTTATTGAGGACGCGAGGAATAACTTGGGGATAAAATTAAAATTGCTAGGGCGGGGGGAGGGTGATGGTTCCAAGGGTATTTTCATTTTCTAGATTTCGTGACCAACCAAACCTATGATTAGAAATAGGAGCTGGGTGGGGTGACGGTTGAATGGCGCAATATNTATCACCTGTGCATCTAATCATTTTCAACACTCATCAACTATCCTCACATTGCGTATCTCCATCAATTTACTTGTATTGTATGATGACCAAATTGTGGGACTGGAATTTCGGTTATTTCTCTTCCCATTTTGTTCTGTTTCTCGCACCCAGCCACCTCCACTAGCAAAATTTTGACATAAATTGTGATGTATTAGCCTGTAGATGAATCATGTGGAATGATGTTTGATTCGGACAATTCTACTGGTGGTTAGGCTTACATGTTGAAAGGGAAGAATTCACTTGGTTGCTAAGAGAAATATCACCATAGATAGTTGCAAACACGGTCGAATGAATTCTTCACTTGAAAAGTGGATGATGATGATGATGAAGATGGTGAACCATTTCCCAAGTCTGAAAGTAATCTTTGTTCCGCTCCACACACACACACACACACACACACACACACACACACAATGCTGTGGCAGTCTGCCGCAGCTCGACACTATCCCACATTGAAACAACATTTAATTTTCTCGCTATGAACAAAGATTCACAAAACGAGGCAGTGTGGGGGAGGTGAGCACTAGTACCACCACCAACAACAACAACAACAACAACAACACAGCCTTCGATTCCGACAATTGTCCACATTAAGAATCGCATTCTATCAAACAATAAGTAACGGAACAACAAATGCATGGGGGCCGTTG